CCTTTGTCCTATGCTGACTTTGCTATACCTTCTGCTTAATCCTGGAGGGAGAGGCGTTCTGTTTGGATTATGTTTATGAAAAGCGTTGTTTCTAGGATCTCCCTGTTTAGAATCCCTTTTAAGGGGACCTTGTCTGCCACAATTAAAACATTTGACATTTTAATTTTTCTTTAAACCTCTTGAAATTATCTCTCCTGGGGGCTGGAGAGATGGCTCAGAGGTTAAGAGTGCTGGCTGCTCTTCCAGAGGTCCTGAGTTCAATTCCCAGCAACCACATGGTTGCTCACAACCATCTATTATGAGATATGGTGCCCTCTTTTAGTGTGCAGATATACATGGAAGAGATGGGTCTTAACCTCTGAGCCATCTCTCCAGCCCCCTCAATTATTATTTTTCTAGCTTCTAAATATTGATATCATTCTATTTACTTCTGATGACAGACTTTGTAATAAATCCATGAATGCTTCCTTTGGGCCCTGTATAGTAACTTTTGTAAATGACACAATTTTCTTTCCTGCTTCTCCAATTCTGTTGCAGGCATTCAAAATACTGCATGGCATAAACCAAAGAGGTGATCATCATATAGACATTGTGAAAGGTTCAGGCTTTAGTACTGATCGGCTCTACCTCTTTAAGAGACAGACCCTGCCCCCTGACAACAGTCAGGGCACGCACAGGGACGTGCCATCATCACATCACCCACCACGGCTAACAGCCCTCGTGAGGACTCTGGGCATGCATGGAACTTCAGTGAGCATGCACAGTCTTCCCTTTAAAAGTTCCAACTTCCCTGCCTCGCTCTCTCTCTGTTTCTTCTTCCCTCTGCTCTTCTCTTCGCCCAGCTATGCACTTTCTCTGCCTCTCTATGGTGACCGGCCATGGTGGTGCAATTACAGAGTATAAAAGGTACAGCTTTTTTTTTTTTTCACTAAATTGTCCTTCCTGGCAACTGTTAGTAACAATTTTGAAATTCCCCTAGCCCCCAAGTTAGTGAACCCAATGGTCACCTACTCTTACCCAATCCTGAACAGCCAAGGCATGTACCACCCTGCTTACTTTTTTTTTTTTTTCCTTAAAAAAACCCTTACAATTGAGGTCAGGCACTCTTCTCCTGCAGCTGCTGTGCCAGTTTGCTGGACCAGGGTCTCTGCTGAGGCTTGTAACTTAACATTAAACCTTATGTGTTTGCATCAGTGAGCTGGCTCCTTGGTGGTCTTTTTTGGGGTCTCACGAATTTGGCATAACAAGGCCATTAAAGGCAAGAGCTCAGATAGTAAGTATAGAGGAATCAGAATGGTATTCTAATATAATGGGAAAAGACTAAAACATCAGGCCCTTCCCTTTGAGAGAGTACGAGGGAAACAGGCCCACACTCTAAGACACAAAGGAACAAAATTAGGAAACAGCTCAGTGCTTATGATGCTACATGGCACAAACGCTGCATCATGACCCTTGAGAAATGAAAATTGCTCTTAAATTGTAACGAGTGTCCGGTCTCCAGAGGTGCTTTTCCCCGAGGTCAGGCATTTGGATAAGGGCCTCCATCCCTTCAGGGACCTGAGGAAAGTTCCTGCTTGATAGAAGTTATTTTCTCTATCTCTAGCAAGAGGAACCTGTGGCACTTCCATTGACCTGGGAGCGATCCTGGTGGAGTTACTGAATTTAGAGAACTAGGCATTTAGATACTAGCTGAACTTACTGCTGTTGTCTCAGGAAAAATGCTGTAAAACATTAAGTCTGCTTTCAAACTTGCCTGAGGCTTTAACTATTGTGCAATTACAGAGTATAAAAGGTATAGCTTTTTTTTTTTTTTTTCACTAAACGAGCAGCCATCCTGATCAACCTCAGATTGTGTCTGTCTCCTCCTTCCCTTTGCTAACCCCACACCTCCTCTGTGGGACTTGAACCCTGAAGCAGCTGGGTTCCAGGAGACTTCACTTGCTGCCTGGGACAGAATGACCTGGAAAAAAAAACAAAACAATGAATGGGTCTTTGTCCTTAAAAACCTGTTGCCTGCCAAGTAGCTTCTGTACAATCTCACTTGCTTGCCCACCCTACCTTGTGGTTTTAGAGTATAAAACGAGAACACAAACTGGACACAGGACTGAGACTTTTCTGAAGCCTTCTGGCTTCGGTCCATGACACCTCTCTTCCACTCTCTTTGGTGTTGGAATGCTTATTCCAGAAAGATTCACAAAACACAGGCAAAAACTCACACACATAAAATAAACTAAAAATAAATGAGAAACCCACAAAATTAAAAATGAATCCTCATACTTGGAAGGCAGAGGCAGGGGGAATCTGTGAGGTTTATTTTTTTTTTTTTTTTTTCTTTTCTTTTTTTGGTTTTTCGAGACAGGGTTTCTCTGTGTAGCCTTGGCTGTCCTGGAACTCACAGAGATCCGCCTGCCTCTACCTTCCAAGTGCTGGGATTAAAGGTGTGCGCCACCAACACCCGGCCTAGGATCTCTGTGAGTTCTAGGCTAGCCTGCTCTACAGAGTTCCAAGACAGCCAGAGCTGTTACACAGAGAAACCCTGTCTAGAAAAAAATAAAGATTAAAAACACCGACAAACCTCTCCAAATCGTCTTCATCATAAACCAATTAGTACTGAAGTTTCTTTGTGTGGCAGAGCCACAAATGTCAAAATGATTATCACAATGGAGCCTTTGGCTTCCAATCCATCACTGAGAAATGGAGCTAGAAAGCAGACACCTTAGGATTTCAGTATCTCAATCGATTCTCACCATTCTCACCATTGGACTCATCCAGGGCTACATGAGACAGTCTCAAAAAAAAAAAAAACACCAAAGATGGGGCTGGGGATTTAACTGATGGTAAAACATTTGCCTGGTATGTGCAAAGGTCCTGTTTAATCAGAACTTTTACTGAAAAGGAGACACAGAGATAGCAGCAGTTGATAAAGTGAGATTTTTCCAGGAGCCAATTGGCTAGAAGCAATAACAAAAGCAGACACCAGGGGGCAGAAGTGTGCTTGCAGTCTGGCAGCCAGACTGACCAAAAGACAGTCAAACTGAAGCAAAACAGCTAAGCTGCTGAAGGCACTTGCTGACAAAACTTGGGGACCCGAGTTCCATCCCTGGGACTCCCCACCACACTGGCACATTCACACAGTAAAAAATAAATGTAATTGGGAAGTATGGGTCACTCCTTTAATCCCAGCACTCAAGAGGCAGAGGCAGGCAGATCTCTGTGAGTTTGAGGCCAGCCTGGTCTACCGTGCTCTAGGACAGCCAGGGCTACACAGAGAAACCCTGTCTCAAAAAACAAAACAAAACAAAAAACCCACAAAAAAAAATAAGGTGCTAGAGAAATGGCTCAGCGGTTAAGAGTACTGACTGCTTTTCCAGGGGATCTTGGTTCAATTCCCAGCACCCACATGGTGATTCACAGTCATCTATAATTCTAGTTGCAAGGGATATGATGCCCTCTCTGTTCTCTGCAGGCAACACTATGCACTTGGTACATAGACATCGTATGTAGACAAAACACCCATACATATAAAATAGATTTTAATTTAAAGTATTTTTTAAATAGTTATTATTATTTCTTGCTGGGTGGTGGTGGCACACACCTTTGATCCCAGCACTTGGAAAGCAGAGGCAGGCGGATCTCTGTGAGTTCCAGGACAGCCAAGGCTACACAGAGAAACCCTGTCTCGAAAAACAAACAAAAGTTATTTTTTAAAATCACTTGTGTATCTGCATGTTCATATGTGCGTGTGAATGCAGGTGTCCATGAATACCAATAGTCTCAGAGCCCCTGGAGCTAAAGTTACAGGAGGTTGTGAGTTAGCTAATCAGGATGCTGAGTACCAACTCCGGTCCTCTGTGAGAGCAGAGTACACCCATAACCCCCGAGCCGTCTGTCCAGACCCCGTAGTTTTTTTTTTTTGTTTTGTTTTGGGGTTTTGTTTGTTTAACTATTTTAAATGTAGGTGCCATGTGGGTGCTGGGCACTTAACCCAGGTCCTGTGGAAGAGCAGCCAGTGCTTGTAACAGCTGAGCCATCCCTCCAGCACCCCCCCCACCTCACTCCATTTGCAGTTTAAAAAAATAAAAAACCCAACTTTTTTTTTTTTTTTTTTTACAGCTCACAACTGTTTATAATTTCAGAGGATCCAAAACCCTCTTCTGGTCTTCAAGTCCAAGGAGGCACACACAATACAGACATATTTGCAGACAAAACATCCATATACATAAAAAAAAAAGTAGCCGGGCATTGGTGGCACATGCCTTTAGTCCCAGCACTCTGGAAGCAGAGGCAGGAGGATCTCTGTGAGTTCGAGACCAGCCTGGTCTACAAGAGCTAGTTCCAGGACACCCTCAAAGCCACAGAGAAACCCTGTCTCGAAGATGGCCCCCAAATGTAAAACAATAAACTTACTCAGCTCTTGCAGAGGAGCATCCACCTGTGGCTCTTAACCACTGTTAAGTCCAGCTCCAGGGACTCCACCACCCTCTTCCGGCCTCCATAGAATACATTCACAGACACACACAAAATAAAATAAAAGTAGCATCTGGCAGTGGTGGCACGACTTTAATCCCAACACTTGGGAGGCAGAGGCAGAGGCAGAGGCAGGCAGATCTCTGTGAGTTCGAGGCCAGCATGGTCTACAAAAGTACACAGAGAAACCCTGTCTCAAAAATAAATAAATAAAATAAAAGCAGCTATCCTCAATTATGAGATATTAGGTATGGGGCAGGCGACTGTGTCCAGCAAAGTTACGGAGCTGGGAGGAGGTAGGAAGCAAGCAGCTGTCCCTGGACTCCTCAGGCCAGTTCCTAATCAGAACCTTTCCTTCATTAGGAGCCTACAGGAGACCCAACAGAGGCAGGTTTGGTGGTGAGATCAAGGCTGGATTCCAATCCCTCCTCTTCCCTTTGAGCAAACTGCCATAGCTCAGAGCCATCCAGTGCACTGGGAGCCCTTGTTCCCAGCAGCTCCCCACATTCCTACTACAAACATACCAAGTCAGGGTCTGTACAAGAGGCACTTTATTAAATGTTGGAATGCAATTATGTAAGCATAGGGCTGGGCAGACAGGAAAAAAGACAAGTGGGATGGCACATACAAGGCAGGCACAGGAATCCAAGGGACCCTAGGCTGGGGGCCTCTGTGTCCAAGACCCTGGGATCTTACTGGTAAGCAGAGTAGGGGTGATATGCCAGTCTGAGCATACAACAGGTAGGTGGAGAGTCAGTCAACAAGTTTGGCAAGAAGATTATAGTGTCAGGTGAAAGAACAAGGCAGGCCTAGTTAGCTAGGAACAGCACACCCACCTCGACCCTGAAACCATCCCTTGAGGGAACTTAAGTTTCTTTCATCTTACAAAAACAGCAGTGTGGATTACCAGCAGAGAAAGGGGCGGGGCGGCAGGCCCTGTCCTCCTTCAAGCTTTCCATTAAGAAGCCATCAGCCAGGGCCACTCTGGAGTATCTAACCACAGAGGCTTGTTCCCCAGAACCACTTCCAACCTTGCATCAGGCCCTCCTTCCCCACCCTGTCTCCCTATCAGGAGGACTCGTTCAGTTCTGGGTACACACTCATTCCTGTGACCCCAGCCACCCCCAGGCTGGAGGTGGGGCTACAAATGAAGGCACTCGGTGGCTCCATTCACTGTGGAGCCTGATGGAATAAAAGCAGATAGACCCCTTATGTATGTATGTCTAGATTAAAAGTAGTAAGGATGAGAAATGCATTTGTTGCCCCTTGGACTGAATCACCCACGGAGATCCAATTCTGTCCTGGCTGGAGCAGGCAGGGGTTGCTTGGAGCTGCGGTTCATTGAGCCCACTTGCAGAGGCTCTTTTATCCAGTCTTTCCCTCTTGGCTGGAAGGGGCACAGAAGTACAAAGAAACTTGCTGCAGACATCCTTGGGCCATCTCCCACCCTTGAAGACAAGTTACTTCACCATATTGGCACCATCTATGCCAGTGAGGACTGGAGGGACCCATTCTGTCCCATCTTCCAGGGCGCCACTGAAAGCTCTCAAGTGCCCTTGGGCATAGGAAGCAATGCCCCAAATCCTCTGGGTCCCTGGAAATGGGAACTCAAGGAGGGTAGCAGAGAGGCAGTGATGTGACTTTAGGCAGTTCAATGAGCTGGGGACTCTGACCCAAACACTTAGCAAGCACCGGATCGCAGCTCCTGAGAGGCCAGGGGCAGATGTCTTTAGGACTCTGCTGCCTTCTTGTTGGTTTTATTCAAGAGTTTCTTGAGAGTGGAAGACATGAAGTAAGGCCTCTCAGCTGAACCGTCATTTCTTTCCAGATCCTCCACTGTGGACAGAGCCCCAGAACAGGCAACGTGAGAGGGAGTCAACAGGTAGGGGTTGGGATAGGGAACAGGGAAGGGAATGGAGGGCCATAGAGAAGTCAGGGGGAGGGGTTAGAAAGCAAAACACAGAAGAGCAGGGCATGGCAGCATAGGCCTGTTACCCAAGGTGTTTAAGAAGCTGAGACAGAACAACTCCAGACTTAAGATCTGCTTTTACAATAAGTCCAAGGCCAGCCTAGCCAACTGAGTGAGACACTGTCCCCAAATAAAAAGTATACAAGGCAAGGGGCATAGTTCAGGGGTAGAGCCCCTGCCTAGAATTCCCCAGCAAGGGTCTGGGGCAAGGCTCGGAGGTAGAGCATTTGCCTAGGATGCCCGAGTGAGAAAGTGTGGGTGTGGCTCAGTAGCAAAATGACTGCCTAGTCTTGGAAGAGGGAGGGATAGGAAATGACTACAGGAGCCCCACATTCCCAGTCAAGGAAGACCCATCACATGCACAAACCCGGTCTCCAGAGGCCCCCTGGCCCGCTTGCCAGTCTCCCTCACTCTCTACTCCTCCTCAACTTCCTCCTGCTTGCCCGCCTGCGAACTCAATAGGATGTCTCTCAGCTCGGGCGACATGAAGTAGGGTCGCTCCAGAGAGCCGTCATTCCTCTCAAGGTCCTCACCTGGGCCCCCCAGGCACCAGCAGGGGGTGAAAAATGGGATGGTCAGGAAAGGAGGGAGTGGAAAAGGGAGGCAGAGGAAAAACGGGGAAGAGGCCAGCAGGCATAGGGAGAGAAGAAGAGGGGGGAAAAGAAAAGACAGTGGAGACCAGAGTTAGTAGCAGCCATGGACCCTGCTCTAATTCCCAACAAAACCAGAAATTTCAAAGCCAAAGACCCAGAGAACAGAGTATTCCAACTATAGCTTGGGGATAGAAGGGTGAGGAACAGTTAGCTCGGCGCTTGACAAGGAAGTCAGAAAGGCATGAACAGGCCTAATAGGAACGACATCCAGGACCCCAGGAACTCTGGGGTGAAGGTAGTGCTTTCATGGGGAGGTATTTCTTTATCAGGTGGGGAGAAGGGATCAGGGCCCCCTGGTGGACTGAGATAAAGGGGTCACTCACAGAAACAGAGGAACAATGTGTCCACACACATGCCGTAGACGCTGAAGAAGCCATGTGCGATCATATAGGAGCCAATGATCACTGTCTATTTAAGAGGAGACATCTTGTTACTCGGTGCAGAACAACTCACCAGTTACTCTGTTCCGCCTAGGCTGAAAGACCTCATTCTCGTGAGGCCAGAGGCTGTCTGTAGTTGTGGCACTCAAGGCAATCTTCCTGCCTCATCTTTTTGAAGACAGGGTTTCTCTGTGTAGCTTTGGAGCCTATCCTGGCACTCGCTCTGGAGACCAAGCTGGCCTCGAACTCACAGTGATCCACCTGCCTCTGCCTCCCAAGTGCTGGGATTAAAGGCGTGCACCACCTTTTACCTTTCTTAAAAAAGATTTATGTGTGTGAGTGTTTTGCCTGCATGTTTGTATGTGTACCACATGTGTTGTGTGTCTGATACCCATGGATCTCAGGAGAGGGCATCAGATGACCCGGGAATGGAGTTAAAGATGGTTGTAAACTACCATGTGGATGCTGGGAACTGAACCCTGGGAACTGAACCCGGGGCCTCTGCAAGAGCAACAAGCGCTCTTAACTGCTGATGCATCTCTCCAGCCCCTTAAAAATTTTGTGTTAGGTGTGGTGGTGCATACCTTTAATCCCAGCACCTAAAGAGCAGGGACAGACAGGTCTCTGGGAGGACAAGACCACCTTAGTCTACACAGAGTTCCAGGTCAGACAGGGCTGCACAGGGAGACCCGGTCTCAAAAAACAAAAGCAAAAAACTATTACCATGCCAATGTTGCTACAATGAGTAAATCTTTTTCTGCTTTTTCCCAGTGAAAAAGATTTATTTTTGATTATGTATATGCACACGGGAACCTGAGTGCAATTGCCTGGAGAGCGCACTGGATCCTGGAGCTGGAATAGCAGGCAGCCCAAAGCAGTTGCTAGGATTGGTTCCTTTGCAGGAGAGCAGCATGCCCTCTTACTGCAGAGCCACTTCTCTGGCCTTCTGACTCAGCTTTTTGAGTGCTGAGATTATAGGTAGAGTCAACAGCTGAGTCCTCTTTGGTTGTTGGTGTTTGAAGGCCAGTATCCTCTCTCTCCACTGAATGTAAATGTCTGTGTCTGTGTGCGTGCATGTGTGTCTGTGTGTCTCTCTCTCTGTGTGTGTGTGTGTGTGTGTGTGTGTGTGTGTGTGTAAAACTTCATGGCATGTGCACAAGTGGAGGTCAGAAGAAAACTGTGGCAGTTGACTGTCCCCACCCACCATGTGGCCCAAGGCACAGAATTCATGTCTTCAGGTTTGGCAAGTTACTGAGCTACCTTACTAGACATTTACCTTAGTTATCTGAGATACACTAGTGTTCACTGATTGGCTAGAATGTTTGGTCAGTGAGCTCTGGGGATCCTCACAGTACTAGGGTTACAGACATACACATGAAGTGTGTGCTTGTGTGTGTGTAACATTCTGTGGCCCAGGCTGGACATGGACTCACAATCCCACCACAGCCAGTCCAATTCACCCTCTCTGGAATATTTTTTTTTTTCTTTTTTTTTTTTCCAACAGTCTCCTACCACTCAGTCTGACCTCAGAATACTGAGCAGCCAAGGATGACACCAAACTCCTGACACTCCTGCCTCTGCTTCTGAAGGACTGGGATAACAGGCCTGAGCCACCATGTCTGCCCTGGAAGAGCATCTCCCACACCTTAGCAAGGAGAAACCCATCAGGTACACAACTCTCTTTTGCTTTCTCCAGCCTTAGTGCCTTTGCATTACTGCCAAGTTGGTTTTTTTGTTTTGTTGTTGTTGTTTTTAATATTTATTAATTATGTATACAACATTCTGCTTCCACTAGAAGAGAGCACCAGATTTCATAATGGATGGTTGTGAGCCACCGTGTGGTTGCTGGAAATTGAACTCAGGACCTATGGAAGAGCAGTCAGTGTTCTCAACCTCTGAGCCATCTCTCTAGAACTGTTTTTGGTTTTTTCGAGACAGGGTTTCTCTGTGGCTTTGGAGGCTGTCCTGGAACTACCTCTTGAAGACCAGGCTGGTCTCGAACTCACAGAGATCCGCCTGCCTCTGCCTCCCGAGTGCTGGGATTAAAGGCTTGCACCACCACTGCCCTGGCAACGTAGCTGCCAAGTTTATAGCTCACCACCTTTTGCTTTCAGCTCTAACAGCAAATCCTCACTCAGGTACTTGTCCCCTGGGAACTGTGTCTGATGTGTAGACCCCACTTCACACTGTCCTAGCCTGTGCATGTCCCCGTGAGGCTTCCCCCAGCTACAGTTTCATGTGTGTTTGGGGTATTATGAAGTTGAATCCTACATTCCACTGGGCCTTTGACTGCAGCACTTTGGAGGATCCAATGCAAGGAGAGCCTGAGTGTGAGCTGCATAGTAAGTTCCAGTACTACCTGGGATATCTAGAACATGTCAGTGGATAGAGTACTTGCTACATAAAACTGAGGACCTGAGTTCACACCCCAGCACCCTTGCAGATGGGTGTGCCCCTCCTCCCACACCTATAATTCCAGCACTTGGGACTGATGAGAGCAGATTTCTAGGGCCAACTGGCTACCTACACTAGCCAAAAATCATGGAGTTGTGATTCCAGCAGGAGACCCTGCCAGATCCATCAAGGAATTCACCCTGATAGTAAACTCGGGCCTCCACATGCACACACATGTACTGTCACATGTATGAAGAGACATACACATATGAAAAGACTGTGAGTCACTCTTTTGTTTCTTTTGTTTTCTGAGAGTCTTATGGAGCCAGGGCTGGCCTTGAACTCACTATGTAGCTAACGATAACCTCGTTTTTCTTCCACCTGCACTTCCTAGTGTTGGGATGACAGGTGTGTGCCATCAGTATCATCACCAGATAACATCCCTATGCATCTATACTATAAGGCCTTGCCTGGCATGACAAGATTTGGCTGTAATCTTAGGGTTTGGGAGGCAGGAAGATCAAAAGTCCCTCCATCCCTGTGCCTTGTATGCAGGTACTCTGTAAATACTTAAGGACCAAATAACCAGTGGCTGTCCCACCTCTAACTTTCACCAAAGGAACCTAAGCAAATCCTAATTCCCCCACCCCTGTTTCTACCCAGACCCTGATCTGTCCCCAAAGGTCCTCACCAGTATTGGAACCCAGTAGTAATTGAGAGGCAGGGCTGTATCTTGCACGATTCTGATCCGATGTGTGAAGAAGAAGAAGGCCAGAATGCCTACGATGGGATGAAGGAGATGGCTGAGTCCCCAAGGAGGGCTCAGCAAGATGACCTGAGCCTGACACCAGTTTACATGCCATTCCCCACAGGCTTCCCCACCCAGCAGGGACTGGCCCAGTGGCACCACTCACCCACACTACCCACAATCAGAAGTTTGCCCAACAGGAAGAGGAAGTCGGTGACTTTGTCCAGGACGGCCACCCTGTAGGGAGAGTGAGTGTGGACTCAGAGCCCAGGAGAGGAGGCAGGGTGAGTACAAGGCTGGTTGGGAGATGGGGCTGGGGCCGGAGGGAGGCTGGGAGAGGGATGGAGCGTGTCCCTAACCTGATAATGTTCCTCATAAGCAGAAAGAAGGCATTCCTGGCTGAGGTACAGAAGTTGGTGCCATAGATGGCAATCTGGAATGAAGAGAAGTTCTGAAGCCTGTGCGATCGACATGGGGGGATAGCCCACCCAGGGCAGCACACAGCCCCTGGCTCACCATGATGTAGGCATTCCTATTCAGGAATTTAATAAACTTCTCTAGGCACCAGAAGCAACACTTGAGACAGACCATGAGGAACTTGGCAAACTTGTTCTGTGCAGCTGAAAAAGAAGGGAGTTATGGGTGGCAAGGGACTGGCCTGGCTTGGTAGAGACCCCCGGAGTCCAGCAAGACAGCTAAGGATTGCAAGTCTGAGGCTTGCCTGAACTATGTATGAGGCAAACCTGGACAATGTAGAAAGACTGCCTCAAAATCAACCAACCAACCAACCAATCAATCAATCCAGGTGTTGACCCACAAAAGGTATCTCCAAAGATCAGGAATTAGGGTCATTCTTGTCTATTTAGTGAGTGGAACACCAGCCTTTTAAATCCAGACAGCTGCAGGTGGTGATGTATGAAGTCAAGCCTAACACTCAAGAGACAGAGCAGATGGACCTGTGAATTCTAAGCCAGTCTGGTCTACATACAGAGTTTGAGGCCAAACACAGTAAAAAAGCTATCTAAAAAAAAAAACCAAAAAAACAAAAAAAGCCTTAGCCCAGCAAGGCGTTGGTGGCACACGCCTTTAATCCCAGGAGACAGAGGCAGGTGGATCTCTGTGAGTTCGAGGCCAGCCTGGTCTCCAGAGTGAGTGCCAGGATAGGCTCCAAAGCTACAGAGAAACCCTGTCTCGAAAAACCAAAACCAAAACCAAAAACAAAACAAAAAGCCTTAGCCCAACCTGGCTAGCCTGAGCCAATGGCCTACTGCTCCTCCTGGACCCACATCAACAACAGAGACTCCAAACAGTTCAGTTGGCTCTGCTAACTGCTCCTCTGCCTCTTAGCTCCACTCCTTTCTTAAACAGCAAGCCAGCAGAGGCTTACCTCTGGCCCCTACTCCTCAAGCAAGACCCAATCAAGACTAAGCCCAGGCCCGAGCTGAAGCTACAGGCAGGGCAGTACCTTTCAGACGCTGGTCCAGGTACTCCAGCACCACTCGGATGATCTGCACGATGGCCAGGATAAGTGAGCCGAAGGCCAAGGAGCCCGTGTGGTACCTGGAATCAAAAGGGGCAATCAGTGGCTCAACCAGATGAGGTCTCTGCATCCCTTCCCTTCCCACCCCAACACTCCTCTTTACCTCAGCGCTCGGCTAAAAGCAGAGAAGAGGGGGAAGGCAGGCATGTCGTCAGGCTTGTGCATAGCCCAGTAATAGGAGGCAAAGGCTCCGGCCAAGGTCACCTGGCCCAGTGCCAGCACAAAGTTGGCCAGCCAGAAGAACATGAATACATTGAAGATCTGCAGACCCAGCAGGGCACGGTGGTAGGTAGACTCGCCACCGTAGAATGCAAACTGGCATCGGCCATTGGGACACTGGCGGCTCTCATTCACTGAAGGGAAGGTCTGGGGAAGGGGTGAGGAACCCCAAAGAACACAGGGTCAGAAGTTCAGAAAAGACTGAGGTTGGACCACAGGGCAAGTCCTAGGAGCAAGATTACCCCATTACAAAAGTCCAGAGAAAGGTGTTGGAGGACCTGAGAGATGGCTCAGTAGGTAAGGGGACTTATGAGTGAGGACTTAAGTTCAAGCCTCCAGCACTCACACCCATGTGGTTGGGCGTGGCCTGTGCTAGCATGTAGCCCATGTGCTAGAAGGAGCAAAGATACCAGCTTAGCTTCTGATTTAGTAAGAGAAACTATCTAAAGGGAATAAGGCTGAGAAATAAAAAGCAAAGCACTCCACAAACACATACGTATATATGCCACACACACCGGACACACACAGACATCAGAAGTCAAGAAAGGGGTAGAGGGACAAAAAGTGACACCACAGAGGGGAAAGATGAATATAGTTCAGTATGCATGGTTGGGAACAGTCCAGCCTTGCCCTGAAAAATGACCAAATCCAGCAATGGCTTGAGAGCTCCACCCCACTCAGCTGAACACATACAGCAAGTGCCAAACGTCTGCAGAATTATCTTCAAGGGGAGGCTCCTAGGGCAAAGCCTGTCCTCCCCATGACAGAGATACCTACCTCTGGGTTGCAGGTTTTTCCTGAAAGTGGGCAGGATGTGTCGTCAAAAATCTTGTATACAGCTACATTAGAGGTAGACAGGAAGCTGCAGGCTCATTAAAGAAACTGAAATCTGTGGCTGAGAATCCAAGGAGTTGGGGGAATCCAGGAATAGTGGCTCACCCTTGTAATCCCAAGACTTAAGAGACAGAGAACCACTTTGGACCAGGCTGGCCTCCAGCTCACAAAGATCTGCCAGCCTCTGCCTCTTGAATGCTAGGGTTAAAGGCGTGCGCCACCACTGCCCAGCCTAGAAACTTTTAAAATAAAGAGAGACATGGGGAAAGGACCAATCACCCCAAGCATAGTCCAACCCCACCTTAAGCTGCAGGACATTTAGGGACATTTGTCCCCGGGGACCACAGACTGATGACTGAATGGTGGATACACGGCGGTGCTGGCCCAGTAGGCAATGCAGAGACACAAGAGGAAGAACGTCACCAGGGGGTAGAGCATGGAGCACATGACATGTCCCACAGCCCTGGGGAGAAACAGATAGACATGAGGGCCAGGTACTTCCAGGCTGAGACCCAGGCACACCCCTGGCTGGCCAGACCCCACCTGCTGGCTTCTTTGATGAGGGCTATGGCGATCAGTATTCTTTTGCGAAGAAAGATGAGTAACAAGATGATAACCACTTCTAGGATGCTTAAAATGATCACTGTGGAACAGGGTGGGCAGACATCAGGGTGGATCCTCAGCTAAAGACACTTGTGGCCAAGCCTGATGATCTTAGTTCAGTTCCCAGAACCCACAGGTGGAAGCAGAGAACTGATTCATGAAAAGTCCATTGATTCCCACATAGCAGGGCTTTGGCATAAATGTCCCCTCCCAACAAAGAAAGATAATATATAATTTTTTAAGAATTAAAAGTAATAAGAAATGAAATAGATTTAAAAATAAATAAAATAACATACAATTAAATGATTTCTGTAAGAACTGACAGTGAGTTTTTTGGGAGTCCACCACAAGCACGCCAAGATTTCCCATAATGCAAGCATGGGGGGGCAGATGGTCCAACTCACTGAAGGCCATCCAGGTCTGCCGCAAATGCAGGTACACTCGGAGGTCCGTCTGGAAGCCAAGGTCCACCAAGGAAACATCAGAGCCCGCCTGTCCCCTCAGTCTTGAGTACTCCATATAACAGTGAAATATGCCTGTATATAGTAGCCACAACCCAGACAGTGATTTTCTTCTTTGTTTATTTTTTGAGACAGGGTCTCACTAGGTAGCCCTGGCTGGTCTGGAACTTGCTGGAAGGCAAGTCTCTCGCCTGATCAATGGGTGCAACAAAAAACCGGTGCTAGGAGGCCCTCCCACCTGATGACAGGGCAGGCAGAGGCTGCACTTGCAGCCTGAACGCGGGAGGCAGATCTCTACACACAGTTCCAGGCCAGCCAGGGCTATATATACTGAGACCCAAAATACAAAACAAAAACCAAGTCAGCTAAATTGTCAACCACAGCTCACAGCTCAAACTATGATTAACATGAACAACTTCTTTTTTGTTGTTGTTGTTTTTGAGACAAGGTGTTATTATGTGGCAAGATCCAATTCAACTTGGTTTTTTTTTTTTTTTTTTTTTTTGGGTTTTTCGAGACAGGGTTTCTCTGTGTAGCTTTGGAGCCTATCGTGGCACTCGCTCTGGAGATCAGGCTGGCCTCGAACTCACAGAGATCCGCCTGCCTCTGCCTCCCGAGTGCTGGGATTAAAGGCGTGTGCCATCAACACCCGGCACCCAATTCAACTTTATAACTCTCTTGGCAGTGGAAAACAGGCATGTACAACCATGCTACACAAATGTTTTGGTATCTGGATCTTCAGACTGAGTTCCCAAGCATTTTTCCTTATAGGAAGTTTAAAAGGAAAAAATCAGAATAAGGGCCAGCAACCGTTCAGTAGATAAAGGCACCAGCTGCCAGGCTGGTGACCTGAGTTCAATCCCTGGTACCCACACTTTTGCAACTTGTCCTCTGACCTCTATATACACATCGTGGTACACATATATGCACACACATTTGCATGCACACAGACACACACAATAAATGAACATAGTATAAAAATACAAAAAAGAGCCAGGCAGAAGAGGCGCTAGCATTTAATCCCAGTACTCCAGAGTCAGAGGCAGGAGGATCTCTGAGTTTGAGGACAGCCAGGTCTACAAATCGAGTTCCAGGCTAGTCAGGGTTTCTTGAATCCCCCCCCACACACACACACGAAGAAAATGTAATCAGAACATGAGCCACTGGTTCATACACCAGGCCTCTGACCGCATAGGTTCTCTTGACAATAACCTCACATTACTACCTCACTACTCTCTCATTAAGTCTCCAATTAGGAAATACCAATTATTCCCATTAGATGGTGTAAGTAATTACGCACAGGGAGGCTTAGTCATGTGCCCAAGGACAGAGCTAGGAAGCAGCAGAGCTGGGATTTGAACCCAGCCCCTTGGGTACTACAGTACACAAGCCTGCTCACTAGACTAAGCAGATGTCTTCATAATGTCTTTTGTTGTTAATTAAAATATCAAACCAGGTCCTGGTTCTCACAGTTTAGAGGAAAATTTTTTTCTTTTCTCTTTTTTTGTGGTAAGTGTCCTTGCATGTGTTAGCACTGTAACACTGAGCCAGGACTCCAGCCCTTCATGGGAGGGATATAGGCAAGTGCTTGAGTTACAAGCTTAGCCCCACCAAGTTGGATTTCACCCAGCCCCTCTTGATGGGTCCTGGCTGCCTCAAAGTTCCTACAACAGTACCACTGTTGTAGCATGACATCTTTACAAACATGCCAGTTAAATGGTGAAAAACATCTGAAGGCTTAAGGTGACATTTTTGATGAGCTGTCACCAGAGCAAAAGGCATTGGCACTTTGTCGACCTTAGGCAGGGAGGAGTAGAAGGAAGGGGGAGACTCACCATAGCCAAGTACCAGGACCACCATGACAATCATCACCCAGACCATAATGCCTGCCAGGAATCGCAGCAGGATGATAAACAGCAGACTCAGAACCATGGCAATGACCAAACCTCTGGGGGATATGACAGGAGCATGAGTGGCACTGTCCTTAGGCTCACAGATGTGGTAGCCAGGGGACAGCCACCTTCCTTCCAACTCACATGACAATCCAGTACCAGGATACAGTGTAATCTTCAAATATCTGCATGGCAAGCTCCCGAGCCTCTAGAACCATGTTGGCCCTCCTAGGGGCGGAAGAGACTCAAGTCATACCCAGGGAAGGCCAGCTTCAGTCCCATCCCAGGAAACCCAGGTATGCTAGAGGGCTGCCTTCTCACTTGGCACCCTCCACCAGTTCCGTGATGTTCTTCCTGGTGCCATGTCCGTCCTCATAGGTTGTCTCATTGCCCACCATAAGGACCCCTCTGTTGGTATGGATGGCTGGGAAGCACCGCTGGAACACTGTGGGACCAGAAGACACCAGCAGATGAACCCTTGCAGATTCCCCAGTGTCACCTGATCCTGTGCCATGCCTATTACTCACAAGGTTTGCTGGGGATGATAACAGCTGGACAGTCCCCATCTCGGAGCACCTCGGCCACCCCCTGCAGAGAGAATGGGAAGAAGTGGATCTCTGAGGAGGGCACCTTCCTGTGTCCCTTCCCTTGTCCCTTCCCAGGACACTGAAAGGGACTTTATGCTCACTTTATTGTTCTGGAAGCTTGGCATGCAGAACTGTTTGTAATACTCAAAGTCATGAGAGTTGTGTGCATTCAGAAAAGTGAGATAGCGGTCCGGGCACTGCTTCACACAGATCTGGGGGAGTGGAATGAAACGGATACAGACTCAGGACACTGAGACCCCATCCAGGACAGAGGTCTCCTGATGTTCATGAGAGCTGTGGGAACATGTTACCTGAGGGGTAGGACATTGAAATTCCAGCAGGACCAGGGGGCTGGCACACTTCACAATGTTGAAGTAAAACAAGAAGGGTTTGTTCCTGGGGTTGGAGGAGGGCAAATAGAGTTGGTCAAGACTTTGCACCTACTGGGCCCAGAGATGGCTCAGGTCAACCTGAGTTCCATCTCTGGGAATCATGTGATGGAAGAAAAGTACAGATTCTTGGACCTCCACATGGGTATTGTGGCTTAAGTGCATACATAATAAATAAACTAATAAATAAATAAATAAATAAACTAATAAATAAATAAACTCACTCATTTTTTGTTCCCTTTTGCCCACAGAACTGGCCCTGGCTATCAGTAGGGTAGATCACCTTCCGAGGGTCTCCATGGGTCCAGGCTGTGGAGAGACCAGGGATACAGAGGCTCTGTCACTTCAAAGCCACAGCACTACCCTGTACACCCCAGAGGTTGTGCTGGCCCCTCCTACCTGAGAAGCCCAAGTTTTCTCCCTCCCTGCACTTACCTACTATGCCCACAGCCACGTAGCCTACAATGGCCAAGAAGAACAACACACAGCAAATGACATCTGTGCAACCCCTGGGGAGTAGAGCAGCATCAGTTCATGTGACCTTATACACACCCCTTTTTATGAGGAATCTGAACTCTGGGCTAAGGATCATGTGCCTTTTTTTTTTTTTTTCCCTTTTTTGAAAAGGGGTCTCACCTTGTAGCCTTGGCTGGCCTAAAACTTACTATGTGGACCAGATTGCCCTCAAACTCACAGAAATCCACCTACCTCTGCCTCCTGAGTGCTTAGATTAAAGGTTCGTGCCACCACATATGGCCTAAGTGCATTTTTAATTTTTTTTTACTTTTATTCATGTATATAAATAAGGTGTCTTACCTGCATAGCATAGCCATGTGTGCATCTAGTGCCTGTGGACTCCTGAAGAGGGCATCAGGTCCTCTGAACTGCATGCAAGGTTGGGAATTGAACCTTGAGTCCTCTGGGAAGAGCAACCAGTGCTCTTAAAGGCTGAGCAATCTCCTCAGTCCCAGGTCATAGGCCTTTTCCTCCTTCTATATCTCTTGATTGTGTGTGTGTGTGTGTGTGTGTGTGTGTGTGTGTGTGTGTGTGTAGGTTAGAGGACAACTTTGGGAGTTGGTTCTCTCTACCAAGGTGATGGTAAGCTTGGTGGTAGGCACTTTTTTTGTTTGTTTGTTTGTATTTCAAGACAGGGTTTCTCTGTGTAGCTGTAGTCCAGGCTGGCCTCAAACTCACAGAGATCTTCCTGCCCAACTAGGCACCTTTTTAAAGCCATTTCTCCAACCTTCTTTTTTATTTTTTTCTTAAGACTTATTTTTATGTGTAAGAAAGTTTGCTTGCAAGCCGGGTGGGTGATGGTGCACACCTTTATCCCAGCACTCAGGATTAAAGAATGTTTGCTTGCTTGCATGTATGTGCATCACATGTGTGCATCGTGTGAAGGCCAAAGAATGTACTTGATAGATCCCCTGAAACTGGAGTTACAGGTGGTTGGTTGTAAGCCACTGTGTGGGTGCCGGGAACAAATCCTGGTCCTCTAGAATTGGAACAAATGTTCTTACCTGCTGAGTTGTATCTTTGGCCCTACATTTTTTATGCATATGTCTATGTGCCTGTGCACAGGTAGAATCCAGAAGCGTACATTGGAGTTACATGCACCTGTGAGATACCTGACTTGCTATGTGAGAGCTGAGACCCAAACTCCAGTTCTTATGATTGGTTGGACAACAAATGCTCTTAACTGCTGAGCCATCTCTCCAGTGTAACACGAATAAATAAAAGATCCAGGAATAAATAAAAGACCCAGAGACTGATATTAGGGTTCAAGCTAAAGATCAGAGAAGCAAAGCAGCTGGCCACTAGCTTTCACCTCTAGCTCAGGCTGAAAGGGCTGATCCTCACACAAGCTCTTCACCAAGTCTCACACTGCTGCCTCTCTTCAGTGTGACTGGAGAATGAATGCCTGCCTCTCTGAGACCTTGCTTCTGTCTTACACACTTCCCTAGTTTTGGGATTAAAGGTGTGAGCTATAATTCTCTTTTAGACTGATTCACTCTTGTGTAGATCTGAATGATCTTGGACTCAGAGAGAACCGTCTATCTCTTAATCCTAAATCCTAAGATTAAAGGTGTGTACCACCAGCTCCTGACTTCTGGCTGCTAGGATTAAAGGTATGTGCCTGGCTTCTATAGCTTGTGGCTGCCTTTGCTTGCTGAATCCTCAGGCAAGCTTTAATAAATCATAAAAAATATATCACTACCCCCCAGTCCCCCAACCGCCACATTTCTCAATTCACCACACTTAAAAAACCAGTCACCCAACCGCCACATTTCTCAATTCACCACACTTAAAAAACAAATTTATTGAGCTGAGTGAGTGGTGCACTTAACCCCAGCATTTGGAAGGCAAAGGCAGGCAGATTTCTGTGAGTTCATGGCCAGCCTGGTCTAGTGTGAGTTCTAGGACATCCACAGCTTCAGAGAAAAATTGTCTCAAAAAACCACACCCGCAACAAAACATAACCCAAATTCATCTGTTTGTGTGTGTGTTGCGACTGTGCACATGCCTTTGAGGGGCCAATTTTCTTTTCTACCATCCAGATCCTAAGGACTGACTGCAGGTCATCAGGCTTGCTGGCAACTGTGTGTAATAGCTGGTCTATCTTACTGCCCCCTTTACTTTTTATTTACTTATTTAACACAAGGTCCCACATACTCAAGGCTGCCCTGAAACTGGCTATAGAGTCAAGTTCACCTTGAACTCCGAGCCTCCTGCCTCCACTTCTTGAATGCTTAGGTTATCAGGTTTTGCCTGGTCAGACCCAGTGAGTGAATTCAGTGCTGGATTGGACATTGGGCTTCCTGCATAGCAGCTAAGTATTCTACCAACCAAACCTCATCTCCAGTCCTGGCCTTAAAAATAAATAAGTAAATAAATAAATAAACAAAAATAAAGATTTGAGGTGCTGAAGAGATGGCTCAGTAATGATAACCTCTTGTTGCAGGCAAGGCATGGTGGCGCATGCCTTTAATCCCAGCATCTCTAAGTCCAAAGCCAGCCTGGTCTACAGAGCAAGTTCCAGGACAGCCAGGATTATGCAGAAGAAACCCTGTCTCAAAAGCAAAACAGAACAAACAAAAAGCACTGTTGCTCTTCCAGAGGATGAAGGCTCAATTCTCAGCACCTACATGGTGGTTCACAACCATCAGTAACTCCAGTTCCAGGGGATCTGATGGACTCTGTGATGCCACTCTGACCTCAGTGGCAGCAGGCATGCACATGGTACACATACATACATGCAGGCACCACACACATACAATAAATAAAATGAATCCATTTAAAATTTTGAGAAAAGATCTCTGAAAGTCACTCAGGCAGGCCTTGAACTTTCTTTAAAAAAGGGGGGGGGGGGGGGGGGACGGGTGGGAGAAGGGAAATGGGATTGTCATGTATAACAATTCAATTTATTCTAATTCAAATAAAAAAAGTTGGAAAAAAAAAGTTGATGGGCGTTGGTGGCACATGCCTTTAATCCCAGCACTCTGGAGGCAGAGGCAGGAGGATCTCTGTGTAATAGTCACTAGCCAGGAGGTGGTGGCTCACGACTTTAATCCCAGCAAAGGGGCCAAAGGCAGGTGTTCGAGGCCAGCCTGTTCTACAGAGATAGTTCTAGGGCAGTCAGGGCTACACAGAGAAACCCTGTCTTGAAAGAAAAAAAAAAAGTCACTAAATAAACAGAGAGTGGCTAAAGAGACAGGTCAAGTTTTAAGACTACTGGATTTCCCAGCACCCACCTGGAGACTCCCAATCCCAGGGGATTCAACCCCTCATTCTGGCATTCTTGGATACCAGGAACACACACAAACCAGACATAAATGAAGGCAAAACAACCATATAGTTCCAGGGGATCTATAACAAACATGCTGCACATACACGCATGCAGAGAAAACATTCATACACATTAAATTAAATCTAAAAAAAAAAATTAACCAGAAGCAGTACATGCCTTTAACCCAGGACTCTGACAGGGTTTCTGTGTGTAGATCTGGCTATTCTGGAACTCACTCTGTAGACCAGGCTCAGGGCTCTCTTTTTTTAAATAATACTTTTATTATTAATTTGAGAATTCCATGCAATATATTATTTTATTAATCCCACCCCCCAAGATATTGAACTTTTGATCCTCTTGCCTCTCAAGTAGTTGGGATCATAGGACAGGGAAGCCACATTTAGCTCAGACAAAATTTTGTTTATGTGTACAAGGCTCATGCAGAGGCAGGTGGATCTCCTGAGTTCAAGACCAGTCTGTTCTACATCAAGAGTTCCAGGACAGACAGAACTACAAAGAAAGATACTGTCTCAAAAACAAAACCCCCACAAAACTAAACAAACAAACAAAAAGTAGGGGAGGAAAAGTGGCTCAGTGGCAGAGCCCTTGTTTGGTACTGAGACAGGAGAGGGAGGGGAACTAGGGTGATGGGTCAGCAGATAGGGGCAAACTTTTTGGGATCCTTGGGACCCTCATGATAGAAGGAGAAAACCAACTCATGAAAGTTGTCCTTTGACCTCCACACATGCACAGGGACAAATGCATACCACGTCCATATATACAGGCAAACACGCACATAAATATGTTAAAAAAATAAAAATAAAAAAGGATCCACGTAAGGGCAGGGCACAATGCGTGCCGGTGGTGTGTGAAGCTCAATTCCATTCCCAGCTCCATTGGGGAGAAGTCTAGAACCTTAAGGAAACCAGCTTTTGAATCACCCTGCTTTGCTGAAGAACAAGCTGGACACAGACACTCTCCCATTCTCTCCCCTCTTCCCCAGGAAGGCAGGGCCTCCTACCTGTTGTAAATGGGTCCTTTGAAGGTGGGGTCGTATTTATGCGGCGTCCCTGAAAGTCAACAGGGTTAAGCAGGGTGAGTGAGAATATGACACAGGCAAGGGAGCTGGGAGACCCCTGGGTCCACAAGTCATAAGAAGCGCTGAGCTGTATCTGCACCCTACCTCTAAGGGACTACACCCAAGCTCCAAGGTCATCAGAGACCACAGCAGGGGCTACAGTCACTAGGGGTGACCAGCTGCGGCTTGCTGTCACCAAAGGGAAATGCCTGGAAGGGCTTACAAGGACCAGAGCAAAGAAGGCAAAGTTCACAGTGGAGAGATGCAGGTGTTCTGGGGATGCGTGCGGCCCTGGTCCTAGGTAAAGGAGAGCGGAGAAGGTGTCTGAGGCAGCTGTAGGAGAGAGCCTGGGACTGGGAGGGCGGGGGCGCACAACTGCGATTCAAGTGCAATTACTCCCCCTCTCTTTAGCAACCTTCCCTGAGAGTCCAAGGTCCCGGCTGCTGTCACCGGGATGCACAAGCAGGGCTCGCATACCGTGCTTCCCGTAGTAGTGCTGCGAATCCTTCCCCATCCCTGCGGTGCAGCCCCGACGGCGCCCCCCAGGACACAGCCGCCACCCGCAGCAGCAGCTCCTCCAAGCAGAGTGGCTGGCGGATCGGCCCAAACCGGTCAGACAAGCCCCAGCCAAATAACCGAGGAGGAGGTGCCGACCTAGAGGGCCGGGTGGGGCCGCGGCTGCTCCTGCCACTCACTGGAAGGCCCGATTTAGCCATCCCTGCCCCCAGCTTCACCCAACTCCTCTGGGCTCCGGCCTCATCCTCCACCCACCTTCCACCCGCCCACGAAACAAAGCATCCAGGGACACTTCTCTCTCAAGTCTAAAAGATCACCCCAACTGCTCCACCAAGCAAGATGGAAATTGAGGCACTAGGAGGAAAGAAAACAGGCAGGTATTCGGGCTGTAGTGGCGCCCGCCTTTAGTCCTAGCACTCAAGAGGCAGAGGCAGATGGATCGCTGAGTAAGAAAGAAGTCAGCCTGCACTACAGAGCAAGTTCCAGGGCCCGAGGCTACACCGAAGAAACCCCCATCTTGAAAAACAAAACAACAACAAAAAACAAAAAAAACTAAGAGAAAATATATGGGCTAAAATTCCTATAAATGGATGAAATGGGGGGGATCTATTAGCGCCTTTTCATTTTTCTTAGAGTCTTGTGTAGTTTAGGCGGGCTTACAACTCATTGTTCATCTGAGCATAACCTTGAACTGTTCATCCCTCTACCTCCATCTTCCCAGTGCTGGGATTAAATCATGCAGTTTAATGGGAGGTGGGAAACCCAGAGTTTCCCACCTATTGAGCGAATCCGCCCCCATTCTGGGTTACATGTTTTTTGTAACAAAAATCTTACTGTGTAGCCCAGGCTGGCCTGGAACTCACTATCCTGTTCAGCTCCAATCCCTTTAAAAGTTGTAGTTTGCATATTTATTTTTAGATTTATTTACTTCATTTTATGTGCATGAGTGCTTTCCCTGTACATGTGTCCGATGTTACAGACTGTTGTGAGCACACACCATGTGAGTACTGAAAACTCAACCCAAGTCCTTTCCAAGAGCAGCAACCACTGAGCCGTCTTTTCAGTCCCTCTTCATTCATTTATTCATTCATTCATTCGTTCGTTCGTTCATTTGCTTATTTTGATACAGGGTCTCACTATGTATCCCTGACTAGCCTCTAACTCTCTAGGATCCTTCTGCTTTGACCTCCAGAATGCTGGGGTGAAAGGCCATACCTGGCTTTTCTTCTTTTTTGTTTGTTTGTTTTTCAAGACAGGTTTTCTCTGTGGCTTTGGAGCCTGTCCTGGAACTAGCTCTTGTAGACCAGGGTGGTCTCGAACTCACAGAGATCTGCCTGCCTCTGCCTCCCAAGTGCTTCTTTTTAAATGTTTTATTTACATCTCTGTGAGTAGACCGCCAGTCTGGTCTACAAAGTAAATTCCAGGACAGCCAGAGCTATACAGTGAGAGACTCTATCTCACCAAAAAGAAAATAAAAATCTATGTATGTGGGTGGGTTATTGGGGTAATTTGGGCACATCTATAGGGGCCCTAAAAAGTCAGCCTCTCCAATCTCTTTCAAAACAAGAAAAATCTGGCTAGACCAGATGTGAGATCAAGCTCAAGGGCTGAGAGCTGGCTCAGCAGTTAAGAGCGCTGGCTGCTCTTCCAGAGGACCCAGGTTCAATTTCCAACACCCACCTGGCAGCTCACAACTGTCTTTAGCTCCAGTTCCAGGGTATCTGACACCCTCACACAGATATACACGCAGGCAAAACATCAATGCACAGAAAATGAAAATAAATCTTTTTTTTTTTTTTTAAATCAAGTTCAAGACCAGTGTGCACGATTCACAACAGCAGCAGCAGAAGATACCAGTCCTGGCCTCACAGATCAGGCACAGGATGCCAGGGGTAAGCAGCTGGCACTAGGGCTTAAGGACACAAAAGATGAACTGTCAGGTGTTTAGTCAAGGTAGGGGTCAACAGCAGGTGTCATTTTGGGGCACAGTTGGGGTCAAACTATACAGTTGGCATAGAGGTATTATTCATATATTGTGCAATCCATAAAGATATTTAATCCACCAGGAAGTATACTAAAAAAGCAGGGTAACTGGGCAGTGGTGGTGAATGCCTTTAATGCCAACACTTGGGAGGCAGAGAATGGTGGATCTCAGTGAATCTGAGGCCAGCCTGGTTTACAGAGCTAGTTACAGGGCAGCCAGGGCTACACAGAAACCCTATCTCAAAGAAAAAAAAAAAAAGAAGAAGAAGAAGAAGAAGAAGAAGAAGAAGAAGAAGAAGAAGAAGAAGAAGAAGTAGGGTACACAGTTGGTGTAATGTGGACACCATCGTAGCGGTATACTATGAGGTCATCCAATGTAAATGGTGAGAGTCCCTGTTTGTACCCCTCATCACTACACACACCTAAAACAACCACCAAACCACACTGAGGCATGGTTCAGCGATAGAGCTGCTACCTAGAATCCCCCAGTGAGGGGCTGGGGGAAAAGATACAGTGGTAGAGCCCCTGCCTAGAATTCCCTAATGAACAATGGGTGTGGGGGGGAGGGTTGGAATGTGGGGGTGACTCTGTGGTAGAGCCCCTGCCTAGAATCCCCCAGTGAGGGACTGGAGGGTGGGGCATGGCTCAGTGGTAGAGCCTAACATATGGAAGGCATGAATTCTAGCTGAACACCCTCACACAAAAACCATTAATACCTGCAGCTGCCACCTCAGAGTCGACCACACCCATCTGAGCTCTGCTCTCTAATCGGCTGTCCCTCGAGAAAGGCCACCTCCCCTCCTCTGGCTCACCCTAAGGAAGCCTTACCTGACCCCAAAGCCACAGGCTTCAGCAAACAGGCAGGGCTAAAAGCTCCAAGCCATGACCTAGGCTGACCAGAACTTCCAAAGAAACCCTGTGTTTCTCAAAGCTCCCAACAGCCCTCACCTAAATTTAGCAGTAGACAGAGTACACTGGTCCCAGGCAACAAGCTACTTGTGTTCTGAGCTAGACAGTGCCTTGAGGACTGTCAAACGAACTGTCCCCAACCACCACATCATGAATGACAGCCTTCAAATGGCTTCCTCACATGAACTCTTTGACCCCTGCCACTCTTCATGGAGCCCTCAATGTCACCTCATTCTTGTCAAGGTCATTTGCCAACCTCTGTCTCTCAACCCGACCCAGCAGGGTAATGACTGCTCCTTTTGTGCAGGGCTCTGACCTGAGTCCGAGGAGTCTTGCTTCATATCCAATCCCTTTATTTGAGATAGAGTGCTTAGTAGTCTGAGTTCTGTAAAGCCTTAGGTTGGATCCCCAGCAACCTCTTTCCCCTAAATACTGGCTTAGTGGCCTACAAGTGTCACCCCAGGACTTAAGAGGCTAAGGCAGGGGCTGGAGAGATGGCTCAGTGGTTAAGAGCACCGACTATTCTTCCAGAGGTCCTGAGTTCAGTTCCCAGCACCCACACCACAGCTCCTCCTGTAACTCCAGTTCCAGAAGAGAGATGCCACCCCATCCCCTTCCTACCTTTAAGGGCACCAGGTACATAGTGAACTCACGCATGCATATAAAATAAAGTAAATAATCTTTTTTTTGGGGGGGGGGTTCAAGACAGGGTTTCTCCGTAGCTTTGGAGGCTGTCCTGGAACTAACTCTGTAGACCAGGCTGTCCTAGAACTCACAAAGATCCACCTGCCTCTGCCTCTCAAGTGCTGGGATTTAAAGGCGTGCACCACCAATGCCCAGCTAAATAAATATTTTTTAAACATTTTAAAACCTTGAGCATGCCACTGTGGCACACACTTTTAATCCCAGCACTCTAGAAGCAGAGACAAGTGGACCTCTGTGAGTTCCAGACCAACCTGATCTACAGAGTGAGTTCCAAAACAGTCAGTATTACACAGTGATAATTTAAAGCTGGCCTGGTGTCACATACCTGTGACCTAGCATTAAGAAGGTGCCTTTGCCAGGCAGTGGTGACACATACCTTTAATCCCAGTACTCAGGAGGCAAAGGCAATCAGATTTCTGTGAGTTCAAGGACAGCCTGGTCTACAAAGTGAGTTTTCCAGGACAGCAAGGGATGTTACACAGAGAAACCCTGTCTCAGAAAGAGAGAGAGAGAGAGAGAGAGAGAGAGAGAGAGAGAGAGAGAGAGAGAAAGGACCTTAGGAAGACCTGGGATCATGGCTGGCCTCAGCCACATAATAAACTGAAGGTGAACCTCAGCTACAGATTTTCAGTCCACAGATAAAGCAAAAATGTTTATGACCATGTGCTTGACATGTAAGTGGAAGAAAATAGCCCTGACTCAGAGGCAGACAAATTCCACAGGAATTAATCATGCAAATATATAAAACCTCCAACTATTAGAAGCTACAGGAAACTGTGTCTCTGATAGGAAGGCTGGGAGGCAAAATAAGGCAGTGCTACACGTTCTAGGGTCAGCTGGGATGCCTGGCCAATGGGAAGGAACAGTCACATGAAGAGT